GTGTCTGTAAAGGCGTCATTACTAAATCTACATAAAACTGAACTGTTCTACGATGCGCTTTAACATCATCAGGCGTCGCCATTTTTGGTGTGTGGTGTTAACTATGGAATCCAGATGGGACCACATACACGTAGTTCACTATAGCATCATCGTATCATCAAGGTTTACATGTAGGTCGATAGTGCAATGAAGCGATAACGATGAAGCGACGAAGAAGAGATAGTGCGATAGCGCAATGACGATGATGCATGGCAGATGAATCGATAGCGCGATGACGCAATGTTGCGATAGCGATAACAAGATGGTGGGGTGATATCGTGATGGTAAAATGACGATGAAGCGATGTTCACTATCGTATTATCGCACCATCGTCATCGCATTGTCGCGCCATTGCACCATCGCATTATCGCGCCATCGACCCTTCAGTCGATGCTTGATGGTGCGATAGGGAACTTGGTGGCCCTATAAGGATTCCAAAGTTAACCACTTTCCATTTCAAATGCTCGGGAACCTGTCACAAATTTGGAAAATGCGTAAATATGTTGAAAATTTCCAAAGGATGACATTTAAGAAATAAACGACGTTCTTCAGTGAACATGGCGTTATAAATAACAATTGCTCTGGTGGCATATTGCTAGCGCATCATCGAAAATATGCCAGCAGAGCTATTACTATTCATAACGCCATGTTAACTGAATATTCGTTGTTTATTACTTATATTTGCATTCTGTGATGTCAAAAATATCAGAGGAAATCCTGACTTGCCTAAGGGCAAGGATGAGAAAAACATGACAATAAAATTATTAGACCTGATTTATAATTCATCTACTTTATCTCCAGATAAATCACATACAATATCTATGGTATTTGCTTATTTACCATATTTATCTGGATACAAACCGCGCCGTCTTCAAATTCTCGTAAATTTTTGTTTTGATGCTGTTGTGGCGCGTCATGACGTCATCGTCATCGAAACTTTCTGAGAAAAATTATCTATAACAGTTTTATCATGATTATGAAAAAAGAAAATGGTTTTATATTGATGTTAACCTTAAGAATGTTTTTCATATGTTTCTTAAGTTCTTAAAATTCTTTTTAAGAGTTAAAATAGTTCTTCAGATAGATACTCTTTTACAGAAATTTCGCTTTGTCTGAAAGTAAAACACCCTAGCGTGAAGAGTTATTGTTCTTTGTAATTAAATGCGTAAAAATGAACAAATTAAAGATGTAGAGCTCTATTTAATTTGTAGAAAAATTAATTTTACAATTAAACACATTGCCTTAAATTAATATTTTAAAAAATGAAATACATTTCAATCAGCAATTTGAAGTATTTTAAATTTCCCTTGTCCCGGAGTATTTTATTAAAAACTAAAATTTATTTCTTTTGCACAACATTTCATATATATACCTCTGAATGTGTTAATAAGTAGAGTTGCTTGCACTATGCGAGTGTGTAAAATGAACTGCACTGGTAGCAGAAGAAGTTGCGTTCATAGTGCTATGAACGCAACTGGTGAGTGCAGGTTCATATTGGGAGAAAACAGAGAGTGTGCAAATATAATAGATAGTGACGTAAAAATATGAAAATTTTCCCCGAACCTTTTCTATCAATAATCGCAAATTCTCTGATAAAACCCTGAGTTTTGGTCGTGCGCTTTAGGACCATACCCTGAACACATTCAAGTATAATGAATTCCTCGTTTTTGTTTATATTTTATAAACAAGAATTAAGATGTACTCAAATTAGATAAATAAATATTTGCTGAAAATTTCAGCTTAGTGCGTGCATTATTTTTCAATTAAAACGTATTTCCGCGATTTTACCGAACAACCCTTTACACGTATATTTGTAGACCCGTCGAAAGTTGGCTGAAATACTGCCGACTCGGCGTTAAAGGCCAAGATTAAGATTTTTAACCGTACGGTTTTCTCAGGTAAGGGGAGAGACTTAATTTAGGAATTGACGGTTGTGTAGTACGTGCAGAGCGCTAATCCCTATACACAAGCAGTATACACAGGAAGTCCATAGGTATTAACTGTACAGCTTCTTTGGCCTACATTTCATCGGGAGATAAAATAATTAGATTTCTACATCGATAGAAAATATCACTGGTATTTACAAATAACTAATATTTGTAAAATTCCATAATTTTATACTTATAACTAATATGAGACAAACAGAAATCCAATCGAATTTTGTAAAATTTTATGTACCTTATCATCCTTGTGTTATTGTAGCAATGAAATGAGTTCATCGTTAAAATTAATGAATACAGATACGTTTTAAAAAGTAAGAAATTCATCTTTGCGGGTCCCTTTCAAATTTAAAAAAAATATTATCGTAAATATCGTAGCATTTTAAGCTTCAATCATGGCCAATATTAACAGTTACTTCTCGTTTGTATGAAAAGTCGCGTACTTGGTCCTATTTTCAGCAAATGTGTTCTATGGTGAAATAATCGCGAGTATGATGCTCTCATACAGTTATATGTACATAAAATTAAATTTAGATTATAATTAAACATTTTAAAACAAAATTTATAATAATTGTTAACATATGTTTTCCTTTACAAAAATATGTTTAACATCCCGGTAAGGGGGTAACAACCCACACAGAGAAAAATACTGGGTTAAAAAAAGGGGGGAAAACCCTCAATACCCCGTCTAGGTGAAGTTGTTAAAGATCAATCAATCGTACATGTAGTTGTTGCAAGTTTTTTAAACTTATAATTGACAACATACATAGTTTAAAGTAATTATTCTATACGCTAATTAAACTTTGTTATTTGTAATTATTTATATGTGTGTATTGTAGAGTTACCAAAGCGGGGAATTTGTAAAGCCAGGTATTTCATTGCTTACACGAAACTTTGTAACCCCCAGAGAGTATCATTCATTGTAAAATATTTGTTAAAGATTCTGCAAACATCATTAAGAGATGTTATTCTTTTTCTTCTTATCTGATTGTACCTTTGTATATTTCACAGAGCCTGTTTTTGCGTCTTTAAATTCATGATAAAAAGACAATGTCCTGTGTGTGCTTTTATGCTGATTCTGAATGCTGTCGATAAAAAGCTTATTACAGATCAAAAGATGAAAGAACCTTTTCAAATTACCCAATTTAACTTCTATGGATCCATTTCGATTGTCACGGAAAATTAAATATCCAAAATACAGCCTTTACCCCCATCAATGTTTGGTCTTCTTCAATACCTAAGACAGGCAAAAATTTCATAAGGATAAATGTGAATCAAATATTCAATTGTGCTTTCCCGACAGAATCTTAAAATTCCCATTTCTTCATTTAAAATACAAGTGCAGCTGTAGTAATTGGAGAGATTAAGTGCCAAGTGAAGTCACAATGTGTACGTGTAATTTTGACGTATACGTATTATTTATCGTGAACCTATGTATTATGTTTTAGTTATACATACAAACATATGCAAATTATCACTAGAAGTGAGTATTGTAGATTCATGGCAAAGTGTTTTATGTCTAATTTCTCATGAAAACAATAATTGTTATACAATGGATATTTGCCGAATACAGTTCTTTATGAAGAAAAAATATCAGACGGTTTGAGGCCCATTTTTTAATATAAAATTTTATGAGGCATATATCGTACTTAAAATGTGCCTTTAAACTTCATTTGCTGCTTTTTCTGGGGACATTTCAATATTTTAACAGTAGAAAAAATAAATTGAATCAATTCTTTCAAGACTGAAGGCTTGGATGAAAACTACTCCGTATTTTTAATCAGCAACATCAATATAGGTATTTGAAGTAATTTGACAATGATTGTTTGGAATGGAGAGTTGAGGTGAAAATTTTCTTACGTAAAACGTGCATGAGTTTAAAGTAAAACCAATTATAGTATTCAACATGGTTAAGAAAAATTTTTAAACTTTCGATTCTAATTGAAATCATTGTTTAAAGCTTGTTTATTGAATGGACTTGTGTTTTAATCCTGGTCTCTTTGGTAGCATTTTCTCCCTTCCTGTACAGTATAAAGTTTATTTGGTTTAACTGGAAATTTAAAAATTCAAAATTCATTTTCAAATGCTGAATGATCAAAACATAATATTCTGTTTTTAAAGAAATCATTGCACATATAAGATTTAACTTTCTGTTTGCTATAATAATCACTTTTTAATTTCTTTTGTTCATTAACGGTTCAATTTTGAAGGATATCAGTACTGAGACAGTCTGATATTACGATTAATATCAGACTGCTCACTAATATCGGATTGCCTAGTTAAATTTCTGACTGCACGAACAAAGGAGTGGCATCACAGCAATGTTTTAATAATATGTTAATGTAATTTTTGACTATATACTTCTGAACTACATGTTGTTTGCAAACATTCTGAAATGCAATTTTATTTCAACCGAAAAATGTTCGTTTGTTTTATGTTTTACGTCCAATTTGAGAATTTTTCACTCATAAAGAGACGTCACCATGTACCGCTGAAGGACTTCAAATTTAGACCTATATTCTGCACTCAGGGTCGTTGAGCAGTGAGATTTTTTTATCGTTCCAACGCCTACCGTGACACGGAACCTCTGTTTTAAGGTATCATCCTAAAGACCTGTGACTTTCACCTCTTATGCTGGGCGCTTAAAATTGGTGAAGGAACAGTCACTACCCATATGTTTACGTCTTAGGTTTGACGCGGCGCGGCGAACGAGAATCAAACCGAAAGATGGAAAATAGAGATAAATTTATGATATGAAGTATCATCCTTCTTCTAGCATGTTCAAATGATATAAGAAGTTAACTCGTTCTGAGAAGAAAAAAAAAGATGACATGACCGACGTAAAATCTTGAGAATGAGAGAGAATATCCTAGAAGATATTTCTAGAATATTTCGAAATACCATCCTTATGCTTGAAATCTCCAAGCAGGCTAAGGTATACATTTAAGAATTTAAAATTCCTTCAAATCGGTGCCCCGTTTCATACATGCACGATCAGTGCAGAAGTAATAATCTTTTAGAAATCTGAAATCAATATTGACAATCTAGGTTTTGAGTCTGACAGAGGCCCTAAGATGGGCATCTGGTCAGTTCGCTTTTTTTGCCTATTCACCATTTACTTTGCGGCACAAGGGATTGAGTCCAAGTTTTTGAACTTTAAAGCTGGCTATGAATATGTTTATCGTTATGAAGGTCACTCCACTTTCGAAGACCTTGGGAAGTTCATCATTAAAGCTAAGGTAAGTGTTTAGTTAATTTATTAAAGATTGATTGTCTGTTCGTTGTTTTACGCCAAATTCGGGATATTTTCACTCGAATATAGACTTCACTGTATGCAAGTGAAAAACTTCAAATTTAGATCTTTACCCTGCACATAGAGCCATTGATCAGTGAGGAATCGTGACAAAGACCGGTGACTTTCACTTCTAGTGCCGAGCGCTTGGCGAAGGGACTGTCACTACCTAACGTCTCAGGTTGAGAAAGAATAAACCATGGGCAAATGTTGAACGAAATGCAAAAGACAGAACAAATGCAGAATGCATTTACAGATTAAGCATGCACCTTAGAATGCTGAACGTACATGTAATGTATTAAAATTAGAAAGACCTCTATTTACCTTATTAAAATGTTTCCTTCGCAGAATTTCTCGCTATCTCATGATATATGAATTGACATCATTACAGTTTAATTACAGTTTACATCAGACGAACTTCGACTTTCTTGTACACTGGACAAAAAGACATGTTTATTCATTAAAATTGCAATAAATGTACATCACAAAATATGCAACTTAACCTAAGTTTATATACAGCTAAAAACCGGTACATCAAAATCATAATTGCCATCAAATTAATGTGAATTGCCAAAGACAATAGAGCAGTCACTTTTCTTTCATAGATTAAAGGATTGATTGATTGATTGTATGCTGTTTTACGTCCCATTCGAGAATTTTTCAATCATATAGAGACGTCACCATATACCGATGAAGGGCTTCAAATTTTGACCTTTACTCGGCACTCAGGGCCAATGAGCAGTGAGGGATCTTTATCGTGCCAACGCCTGTCGTGACACGGGGCCTCGGTTTTTAAGGTATCATCCGAAGGACCCACAACTTTCAGTTCAAAGTGCAGAGCGCATGGAGAAGGAACAGTTGCTAACCATTTTTATCGACTTAGGTCAGTCAGTTCGAACTCACGACCTCGAGCGCTCTATCGACTAAGCTACCGTGAACGGTAGATTAAAAGATTGTTTCAGCATTTACGCTTATAATCCTATCTCAATCAATAATTTTAGGTAATTAGATTGCATGATGTGAATTTAATGTATCGTTGATTGAGCAATTGTAGTTTTACGTCCCTTATAAGATTATTTCACTCATATGTGACGTCACTGTATACTAGTGATGACATTTACTTTGCACTCATGGTCACTGGGCAGTGATGGATAATATGTGAATATATATGAATATATGAATATAACGAATAGTGTTATAATAAACACTCCAATTAAACAATTCCAATTGAAAGCAGAGCTAACACAGACTTCTGAAAACAGAGTTGGAATTAGGTGTCATGGAGGTGTAAGCATCCCCTATCTACCGGTCTCACCTGTCATAGATCAGATGAACGTTAAAAACATGTAGACAATTCAGTGTCAAAATAATGGCCTAACATTTTGTTTGAAGACATCAGTCTAAATTGAACCTAACGACGGACTGTAATTGCAAACAAGGTCAATGTATCGACCATAGAATTTGCGATACTTTTATCGAGATTATTTATATCCTTGTATCATCAACTTATTTGGCAATAGACTGTCTTGTTTTAGATTTGGTTCTTAAGTAAAACATGCTCTCATGGATCGAATAAAATGGGAGTCATAAACTCCATTTGCAGGTGAAAATGGTTTATTACATTTTCAACAGGGAAATAGTGTGATTAATTTATTGAATAAAATTCATATTCTGTCACAGTGTGAAAGGATACCAAAACGATATTTTTTCGCAGTGTGAAAGGATATAAAAGTAAGTAAACATAATTTCTTGCCTTTTATAAGATACATGTAAAGATAAAAAAGATAGAGATAGAGAGTAACAAAATCATCTTGATAGAGACTAAAACTGCCACTTTCTTCCTAAATATGTGGCTAAAATCCATTTTACAATGTTTTCAATCTCATAATTGCTAAGCTATGACGTCTCAACTGCTTAACTGCTTACATGTAACACTGTGTTAAGAAAAGACAAAAGCAAGGGGAAATTAAAAAAAAAACTATAATAAACAGAAAAGTCAATGTTTTGGATATGGAATTTATTTCACGAGTGGGACAGAATTTTGATTTTTCAAGTGCAAAGGATGAGTGAAAGTATAAAAAAAAATCCTGTCTCATGAGTGAAACATTGAATATCCTCTATGTATTGCTACATAGATACGTTAAGTTGACGAAAGAAAAGTTGGAAGTTATCTCGTTTAGTTGATAGTTTGTCATCAATATCGTTCTGTAGTTAAACATCCAAATATGAAGGTCTATCAGACTTTGTGGTATCTATTATTAGGGATATATCGAATGAATATCAGAATGAAAATGAATACTGTAAAGTGACCGAATGTCGTTGTCGATCTCTATCGCTCCAACACCTGCCGTGACATGGGGGCTTCGTGGTTTAAACTCTCATTTAAAAGACCCGCAACTTCAAAGTACCGAGCACTTGGTAAAGGAACAGTTGCTGCCTTTTTTTAAATCGGTTTGCCGCTGCCGTGGCTTGAACCAACGACAATCCCATCATGGGTTTCAGGGAGTTCTATAAAAACTTCGTTCCCATAAGTCTTCTTTCATTTTATGTAGAGGAATAAAATTCTTTTAAGGAATGGGACTGGTTGTGGCCTTTAGATGTGCAGTTTTCGAATTTTCATTTTTATCCAATAGGCTTGTTAGAGACTTAAGATTTAAAACACCTTTTTATCCCAGAAATATACTTCATAATATTCAATATTTTCAGACGTAATGACTCTGTTATATGAAATACTTTTATAAGAGGTCCTTGGACAACATACTCAACCGAACATTTTACACTTTATTTGATTCTACATGTACATTAAAGAATAAATATTTTAGCTTTTGTTGGCTACCTTGATTAAGGTAGTATGGGATACCTCCACGTTATGAAGTATTTCCGTTTGAAGTATTGTTTTGATTTGCATGAGTGCTTATTATCGGGTCAAAATTTGTAGATACACCGTTGAAAAGAACACTCTGAAGCCTATTTCAATGCAAGTTCTCACAAGTCGGCATTTTAAGTAAAAACAGACAAAAAAATCGCAAGTATATAAATTTACTAATAATTGTACAACGGACATTTAAAAAAGCAAACCCCTGTAAAAGGTAGTTTCAACATTGCTGCTTTTGAACACTTTTAAACAAAAACTGTATTTCAATTGTTTGAGTAACTGTACAGCACCTTGTGTGCGGTGAGGCATGGATAAGTGCGATTACTTCACATTGTGCTGAATTATCACCAATCAATTATCACGTTAACCAGAGCTGGACTTTTTTGTTATTTAATTCAAGAAGTAACTGTTTGGTCACAAATCAGCTAGCTGCTGTATATAGTCCCAAAACGTTCAGAAGAATGCAATTGCTCTGAACAAGACACGTCCTGGAAAGCGATTGTCCATGCATTGTTTTCAAAACCGCTCAAAGTTGAAAACTACAAAGTGCGATTTTTTTATGGTTGGGAAAAAATGCTCATCATTTCTAAAATAGCACCCAGGTTTTTTTTTCAACCCTTGGAAAATAAAGAAGGATAACTCTTCCGCTCGGATCTTTTAATTCAAAGAAATTTTAAATGCATTTTATATTTTCCATTTATATATATATTTTCAATTTGTTTATTTCACTTTGCTAACATATTAAGATACATTCTTATTGTAGACTTTCATGAAATGTTATCCGTCTGTTTTCAAGAAATAAAGTTTTCCCAGTTTTTTACGCTTATTTTTTGTTGAAAATTAAAAAAATACTAAGACATATTTCTTGTCATTTTTGTTTTTATAAACACTTTATATTAGCAAACGCCTGCCTATAATATTAAGCTTATGAAAAAAGAATTATGCAAGAAAAAAAATCGTTTTTGTATTTCTCATTAAAATAATAAAAAAATTATTAAAATTACACTTTAATATACTGAAAGGTGGGGGTATTTCAAATCCTTCTAATTTGAGTACATAAATATGTAGGAGAAGTTTCGTTTGGTATCCCATACCACCTTAAAAAGTGAGTGCATTTACAGGCAAACATTATGTGTAGGTTTTGATATCTTGTGACAGTATCTATTCTCATCCTTGGGGCCAGCTGTGTATTGAAATTCGCTATTAAAACCTGAAAATCTATAATAATTACATTTTTTGTAGTAACTTATTTATTTTTATAGGTATTTGATTTTTGATGTCCTGTCCTATCAGTGATAAGGTTTTGGTACTTCATATATTTTACACAGTAGCCCTACTTTAGAATATGGTTGGTGTTGTCCTGTAACTATAAAATTTGGGGATTTTTATTTTCATCCTGGGCACCACTTCTGGGACATACTAACATTCTACCAAATAGAAGTTGATTTAGGACAGATATTAATTGTAGCTTCGCCGCTACTTTCCTAGATAGGAGGGAAAGTACATAATTTATAAGAGACAAACACATGTTTTTTAAGGCAATAGTTTTTATGTTCGAATAAAATGCACGAATGAAACTATAATTGAATCCTCCGTCACAAATGAAATAATTCCATATGCAACAACTAATGTAACAGTATTTTTTTTGTTTATACCATTTACATTACACCTTATATTTTTCAATTTCGCATTGAAATTCAAAACAATATTGCATCGTAAGTGAATAGGAATATAAAAATGAACTAAAGGATAAAGAACGCAACAGATTTAAACAATAAACTTTAATTCAATTTAAGTATAGTAATACAACATCAAAATATGAAAGAGTAACCCTAACAAAAAAAGCCATAGTTAACTATAGTTTACTATAGTTAACTATAGTAAATCAAAGTTTCATAGTGGTCACTATAGTAAATCAAAGTTTTCAAAGTTATTGCTTTAGTAGTAGTAATCAAGGTTTTCAAAGTCATCTCGTTTGTCAAACATTAAAGGCGTTAATTGGCCCTTATCGTCTATAGTCAGTAAAGCATCCAAAGATATGAAACAGATGTGGCAGATTCTGAGTTGTCTTT